ACCCCACCGACCTCTTTCCATTTTTGTAAGCGCTACCTTATATACACTTTTATCTATGACATGAATAACCAATCAAAAGCTCAGAATTTCCCTCTAGTGGTTTTCTCAGCCTTTATAAAATGGCTAGTGCCATTTCTTTCTTTTAAACCAAGATTTCAATGAGGTAGGTTGTGTCTTTAGTCTGCTCGAAATTTCATATTTTTTTAAAGAGTAAAATATATTTTAGTTACTAAGCTTGATAAAGTATAGTGGAATTCTATGGTATTGATGTAGTAATTTATGATTTGTTAGTTATTCTTGGGGTTTTTATGTCATTTTTAGTTCACCATATTTTAATCTAAATTAATTTGTGTGTGTGAATAATATTATGGCATTGTGTTTAATTTATTACTTGATATCATACAGTGTACCAACTGTTTAATGATCATATTACAGATGTATTTTGTTTTCATCAAAAGTAAACTTGAAAATGGAATCTGTGATGTAGAGGCCTAACGATATTCTGCACTCTCTACGTGAGAGATTCTATTTTACCTTTGGGGGAAATAAAATAAGTCTGTAATATATAGTCTGTTTTATTTGAACATAGTTTGATTTCTGTTTTCTAGATAACAGCACAGCGACTCCAGGATGAGTTTTCCATTCATGGGCAGATTACTAACCTACAGCTAAAATACACGAAAGATGGTGTATTCAGGCAATTTGCTTTTATCGGTTTCAAAACTGAGAAAGAAGCTCTTGCTGCTAAAGATTACTTTCACAATACATTTCTTGATACTTCCAAGATACAAGTAAGTTATGAGCAAATGTTAACAAATGAAAAAAATTTTATTAGGCAAGTTTCTATGCTTGTTTCTCTGCAGATTAAACACTTTTTGATTGACTTTAAGAGAAATTATATCAGTATTAAACTTCCTACATTGTCTTTACACTTTTCATAATCTATGCAAGAAAACAGAACTTATTTGGTTATATAATGCATAGAACTTTCAGAAAATTAATAAACAGCTGATAAACCCAATATTTTTCTGAGATTGTTTTCATTACATTAAAGATATATCCACTCAAATTCTTGAAGCTATGCGAATAATTTATGTAATCTATAAATGTAGTTGTAGTAGGAATTTAACGTACAAGAACAATTCATAAGACTTTGAGACAAAAAAAACAAACAACTTCCTGTTATTTTGACATCACAAGCACTCTATCCTGCAAGAAAATGCGGTTAATTGCCAATTACTGAACTAAGTCTTGGGCACAGATAGAATCGGATAAAGTTAGGTATGCTTACTCTTGTGATTTTCTGTGTCCAAACTGAACAGAAAGAAGATACATAAATTTCTAAACATTTACATGTTAACTAAGAGAGTAGGAAACGGGTAGTGCTGTCCTGTATCACATCATCATAATCTCTTCTTCGAAGAGACGTTATTTTAAAATTCTAAATTTATTCAACTCTTAATTTCTTGGCTTAATATAATCAGATGTTTCTAGAATGGACACTTGAGTGTGTGTACTGTAAGACACTTGATATGTTAGTCTTTGAGTTTGTTAATATAATCAGATGTTTCTAGAATGGACACTTGAGTGTGTGTACTGTAAGACACTTGATATGTTAGTCATTGAGTTTGTTAATATAACCAGATGTTTCTAGAATGGACACTTGAGTGTGTGTACTGTAAGACACTTGATATGTTAGTCTTTGAGTTTGTTAATATAATCAGATGTTTCTAGAATGGACACTTGAGTGTGTGTACTGTAAGACACTTGATATGTTAGTCATTGAGTTTGTTAATATAACCAGATGTTTCTAGAATGGACACTTGAGTGTGTGTACTGTAAGACACTTGATATGTTAGTCTTTGTAGTTTGTTAATATAATCAGATGTTTCTAGAATGGACACTTGAGTGTGTGTACTGTAAGACACTTGATATGTTAGTCTTTGAGTTTGTTAATATAACCAGATGTTTCTAGAATGGACACTTGAGTGTGTGTACTGTAAGACACTTGATAT